TTTTTTTTTTTTTGAGTTGGAGTCTCACTCAGTCTCCCAGACTGGAGTGCAGTGGCCGCTAAATTTATTTCAGGCCAAGAGTGGTGGCTCAGGCCTATATTCCTAGCATTTGGGAGGCAGAAGTGAGAGGATTGCCTGAGTCTAGGGATTTGAGATCAGCCCGGGCAACTTGGCGAGACTTAAAAAAAAAAAAAACTAGTGGGTCTTGGTATCGCATGCCTGTGGTTCCAGCGGCTTGAAAGGCTGAGGTGGAAGGATCATTCATCTGAGCCCAGCAGGTTGAGGCTGTGGTGGCTGTGAGCCTGCCACTGCACTCCAACCTAGACGAAAGAGTAAGACTCCAACTCAAAAACTTTTTTTTTTAATTTTAGAGACACAGTCTTGCTCTGTCTCACTTCAGCCTCTACTCCCTGGGTTCAGGCGATCCTCCCACATCAGCCTCCTGGGTAGCTGGGACTATAGGCATGCGCCACCATGGCCAGTTAATTTTTAATGTAAAGATGTTGCCCAGGCTGGTCTCAAATTTCTGGGCTCAAGCAATCCTCCTGCCTCTTTCTCCCAAAGCACTGGGTTTACAGATGTGAGCTACAGCACCCAGCCAGCTGTGGTGTTTGCTTGTTTGTTTGCTGGCTTTGAGTCAGAGTCTCACTCTGTCACCCAAGCTGGAGTGCAGTGGCACACTCACGGTCACCGCAGCTTTGACCTCCTGGGCTCAGGTGATCCTTCCGCCTCAACCTTTCAAGTGGCTGGAACTACAGCCACCACGCCCAACTAATTTTTGTATTTATTGTAGACACGAGGTCTCACCAGTTTGCCCAGGCTGGTCTTGAACCCCTGGGCTCAGACAATCCTCTTGCCTCAGCCTCCCAACGTGCTGGGAATACAGGTGTGAGCCACTGCACCCCGCCCAGGTCTGCTCTTAAGTTGTATCCAGACCTGACCCATCCTCGCCTCCCCACCCTAGCCAGAACCGAATTCTCTCTGGACTGTCCCGCTCTCCCATCCCTGGTCTCCCGCAGCTGCTCATTGTCCTGGCTTCTCACAGCAGCCAGAAGGACCCCTCACCTGCTCAAAACCCTCCCGTGGCTCCCACCTACAGGCACGAGCCACTGCGCCCAGCCCCGACTCCCTACTCTAAGATTCCTACTTAACTATTCATCTTAGCACCCATTATGTCCTAGCGTTGTGTATTATTTCTTCACCGTGGTTTCCAGGGCCCCCAGCAGGACACCAGCCCACGAGGAGCCGGGATTTCTGTCTGTCCTCTTCACAGCGGCACTTCTTGTGCCTAGAATGAGGCCTGGCAGGGAGTCGGTGCTCAGTACCGTGTGTTGAGTGAATGAACAGCCCGTGGGGGCTTGTGGGACACCTGAGGACAGTGAGGAGTGCTGGGGTCCTGACCTGCTGCCTTTGCCCTGCAGGAAGACGCCCGAGCAGAGCGATGATCACTTCCCACCGCTGCTGCGTCTCCTGGAGAAGAGGCGAGAGCTGGCGGCCGCAGACCGGGATCTGCAGGCCCAGAGGGAGGTGAGCCCCACCTCACCAGAGGGAGGTGAGCTCAGGTTCCCAGAACAGCAATGGCGGTGAGCAGAGCATGCGAGGTGATGAGGCCAACCCATTAGTACAAGGTCTGAGTCGGGTCATTTCGCCACTCTGAGCCTTGATATGCCCATCTGTCAAATGGGGATCGAGTGAGACCAGTTGTCGGTGCAAATACATTTGTGAGTACTGAACACCTACTGGGTGCTGGGCACTGCGTGGAGACCTGGAGGTCTCACCACGGGCCCTTGTGGGAAAATCAGACAAGTGTCCAGGTGATGACTGTTATGGGAGAGAAGCACCGGGTGGGAGCTCAGAGGGGTGGGGTGGTCAGAGAGGGTTTCCCGGAGGAAGAGGTGTCTTAGGGATTGCTGAAGGGCTTATCCAGCAAAGAGGGGCGGATGAGGGGGAAAAACAGGCAGAGGAAGATCATAAGCGAAAACTGTGACATCAAGGTCGAAACACAGGGGGCCGGGTGGCTGGAAGACAGGGGGTGGAGAGGACAGGATGAGGTGGCAGGACGGGCAGGAACACTGGGCTCCAGGGGCTGGAGGGGCAAGTGGGTTTCATCCCCGGGGGGTGGGAGCCATGGGCGGATTTGAGCAGGGAGCAGCCCCAGATCCGGGGCTATAGATGGGAGGGGACTTGTGCTCCAGCCCACTCCTCACCCCAGGCGTTCCGCGCCAGGATGGCGGCCCTGAGTCAGCGCTGGGAACAGCTGGAACAGAAGGAGCGGGAGTTAAAGGAGTCCTTTGTCCGCTTTGACAAGTATTTGCAGGTGAGTGGGGACGGCGGACGGCCGTGGGGGTCGCCAGCGCCCAGCCCGAGCGGAGCCAGGCAGGTCACACGAAGCAAAGAAGTGGGTGCAGCACGGTGGGAGGCGGGGGCGACGGGGGGGGG